CGACATCTCCGAGTAGGCGCGCCCCAATTGATCCAACTTGGGGGTGCGAACCATTTTGCACAGTTTTTTCGCTGGATTTCTTTTTGTGCTATTCTTCTATTTATACACTAAAGCGTACATTTAATACACAACAAACAGTTAAATTGCAAAACATTGAATGGGAAATTGTTTCCGTTTAGCGCAACTTATTTAGCTCGTGCCAATTACTTGCATGCGCCGATCAAATATTTACCGCTGATAACCTTTTTGATACTAATTAAGGTTTTTTATTTTCGTCAGCACACACAGATTCAACGGATTTAAATATTATTTCTAATTCCGTTTTTTATTTATTATCATTTTTATTTTTTTTTTTTAGCTCGGCGCGCCGTATTCGAGCTGTCGAGCACACGCAACGCGCACTGCTGGAAAACTAACCGCAGGCAATGCCCGGGTTCTGGACAGGCAGCGACAGCAAATAATGCAGCTAGCTCACAACATGTGCGCCTAGCATTCTCTTCAGTTCGTATACCCCGTAAGTGAACTATGCAGCAGAGTGGGTGTAACGAACTTTTTGTAGCTTATCATAATAAGCAATGATATTTGCTTACATTTTCTTATTTTTCATACCCTGTAATTGAATATTTTATATACAATCTTCCATTGTCAATACTAAATATATTGTAATTGATTTTGAATATTACCCATATGCATATTCTTGAACTATATTTTCCTATTTTTTCCCCAATTCAATTAAAATATTATTAGCATTTCTTCTAGAAACTATAATTACAGATAATCTGTTAGTCGCGCATTCCCTTCTAGCTGATCTTTACCTATTCATTTTGATAAAGAAACACTAGAGTTTAGCGAAACATTAACGGCGCTTTCGTACAGCTAAACTTGTGCAGAAACCCACCCACACATATACACACACACATACGCACATATACTCCCACACACACTCCAATTACTGGCGCCCAAAATGAGCAATCACATCGGCTACTAATTACTGTTGTGCCTGTATTAAGTTATCGTAATAACTGTTGTCTGCTTGCGGAACGACGGAAAGGAACGTTCAAATTACGCACAGCAGCTCTCGCAGACAGTAAACAGTGAGTGAGCAGACTCACACTCTCCGTCTCTCTCCCTCTTGCTCTCACACACTTGCGCATTGTCTGACATATAGTAGTATTCGTTAAGTTAAGTCAGATCTCGTTGACTGATAACGCCGCCCGTTGGCTGTCTACTCCCAGCCCAAAGCACACAGAGAAGCGGAACGGCATTTCATGTTGACATAGCGTTCCCCAAATATGTACTCAGTTATGTTTGAGCCTACGAGAGAAATTGAAGAGATTTTGACTGCACATTCACACGTATTTAATTGAGGTAAGATAACTAAATATAATAATTAGTATATATAGTTTACATAATAATAACATAATGTTATGTTACACATACTAAATATGCACAGCAGAATATTCATATAGTTATACTACTCTGTTGATTTACCTGATGTATGAAAATTAATTTTTATCATTTATTATTTTAATACCAATTCTGTTTACAGTTAAATACCGGAGCTTTGCTTTGTATTCCTGTTTGAGGTATCTATAAGCCCCTTTCTGAATCCACATACTGCAATATGTAAGTAACTAGGCGTTGGGCATAGCCCTATTATTATTATTATTATAGTTGCCATGGGACCGCGCAATTGAATGTGTACTAAATATCAAAAAATAATAATCTACACGAAATCACTCGAGCAGAAAATATCTAAAATGTTGTAGATAATACTATAATTGAGGTATAGTATATACAAATGTATAAATAAAAAAATAAAATATAATATAATACATTCTATGTTTAAATGTATAGGGAAAATACCAAATCAGCAATTTAAAAAAAATTGCTATATCAATCATGAAGATAGGACATGAGGACTTTACGTTAAGCCGTACGAAGACAGCTATAAGACTAACAAATCTAGACAGTTCTTTTTAACAAGCTGTTTATGCAGACTTTACAACGGCCTTGTTTTAATTCAAATTGAAATAGAGAATGCAGAGCATACTTTAGGGCGCTTTAATTTTAAAGATGTGGAGAGATGGTAAGGAGACAAGCTTGGATCTTTCTTAACTGATATATGAATATAAACAAGACAGATGTAGATGTACATAAGTACTACTAAATATATATCAAATAAAATCTATGTATACAATCATTTCGACTCCAACAACTCAGCCTGCATATATATCATAAATCAATAGATTTAATTAAAAATCTTTAAGATACTCTGCCCATTTTCAATCAGGTTCATTTAATGCAGTTTATTTATTGTAAAGTACGACAATTCTAAATAAGAGAAACAATGCTTATTAACAGAAATATATATACACATATATGTATATAATTATTTTCCTCTGCGCCTGTGTATATATATTTTGTATATACATATATGTAAGTGCACAAATATATAATTATTTTTATACAACTTGCCAAGCAATTTGTGAGTGAAATTTTGCGCCTGTCTGCCATCGGTCTATCAACAATTCCCAGAATAGCCAAAGCAGAGACAAAAACAACAATACCGAACAAAGTCGAAATAATGATGTAGTATCATAGACAATCATTAAACTTAATTCATTAAACTTCAGAATTTTATTGCTTACAACAAACGTTGAGAACGTTGACTGCCAGTGGAAGGAAAACAGTCATTGTTTTCAGCTTTTCCGGTTATCACTATTGAAAGCTAGTCGTCGTGGAAACCGAAAGGCATAGACTTAACAAATTTAGATAGCAGACTATGAAATTAAAAAAAAAAAAAACGATGAACTGATTAAATACTTTGTTTATTATCATATCAATCCGCTATCTTTAGTACAAATATATTTCAAAAGCATCTGAATTCAAAGTGCGAGTCTTTAGGAAACTCTGCAATTGCTAATGCTAAATGGTCCTTAGATCTTGTTATGACTGATGTATCAAAAAATTTACAACACTAACCTATTACTGGATATTACTACAAAATCGCACACATGGACAGAAACTCTTAGCTCAATGCCGGGGTTTCCAGTTCCCAAACTTTGTTGCTTAAAAAAACATAATATATAAAAGCGCATATATAAAGATATATATACCATATATAAATGTAAACATCAAGTATCAAGCGCAAGTTTTGTTTTTGTGAGCAACTGATGAGTCATTCGTAAAATTCGATAGCTGACATCGGCAAAACTTACTTGCGTAGTATACGTGACACCCGTTTCGCTTAGTGCTTGGGATTCCATGAAATGAGATATGGAATAAACTGGCAGATTGTCCATCATTTTCGATTTTGATTAATCACTAGTAATATATTTCAATATCACTAAGCCGCGTACATCTAATGTATCTCTGACACTCTCAAAGGCTCAAAAGCAACTGCCAAAGTTTTCGCTCAATGCCTATCTCCAGTTGATTTGATTTATTAATTTTAACAAATTAACATCAATTTGTGTACTGTTATTGATCGTATTAATCTGATCGGATATTTAAGAGACATGTATTTCGAGAGTATCAAATATACTCTATAAATTAATTTGGCATAACGAGATATTCTGTTTGCAGAGCTCAAAATATACTGCTTAAATAACTCTCATAACTTCCTTCGTTGAGTCGCATATAAAGAAATAATGTTAATGTAACTCTATTCTCATTCTCATAACAATTGATATATGTGATTATAATTGTAAATGATCTCCGAAAGCAAATATTTTTTTTAGTACATATAAACACATTCCTAAACATAGCTCTCCTAGGCGATTCTCATAATAATAAATAAGCTGAAAATACAACTGCTGGCACTCCCAATAACTATTTTAATATGAGTTTGAGTATGCCGTCACAGAGGGTGGTTCGAAAAGTTAAGCGGTTCAAGTAAACTTATTTAAAAGACGACAAATTTACATATGTATATATTTAATAATTAGAAATATACTTTACTGACAGTCCCACATATATTCTAAACTTTTTCTGTACTTGCTTAGATTTTTGATAAAGCTACCTTCGATGCCCAAGTTTAATCATATATAAATATGCTAAAATATAAGGCCAATTAATCAAATGAAGAAATTGCAATCTTAATAGTCCGTTGACAAGACGAAACGCCGGCAGATTGATAATAGCAGAGTGACATATATAAACTGTGCATATATGTAGTCGTATTTCTGTATATATCCACACAACTAGCTTTCTTATCGGCCCATTTGTTTGTAGATAAGCCCAGTTGGCAAATAGAAACTGGCACAGAAACAAAGATAAAGTGCGCTTAGTTTCGAGTGCGCTGGCATTAAGACGTATTCATTTCAATTATGACGAATGACGATAAAGGTATACTCTGTGGACTTTGTGGAGTGCCCCACACCTCAAATGGGAAGTAATTCATTTTCAATTCCGTCTATTAAATACTCGTTAGCCACAAATGACTGGCAAATACCAAGTTGAGCAGAAAAGAAAAGAAAAGATTCGTTTTACAGAAATAAGCCAAGGGTAAATGAAATTATTTAAAACGAAAAATGAATAAAACAAAAAATAAAGAAAGCAAATTTTCTTTTTGTTTGTTTAAAATATAAAATAAGAATAAATACATTTCATACTTCCACATTCCTACATATAGTTTAATGACTTTGCACTACTGTACTTGGCATTTAAAAATAAATATATTGTGAAATTTTGTTAACTTGCCTCTACAGAAAATATTAAAATTGATTGGTCACACAAATGACATTATTATTAAATTAATTAGCACCTCTTTAGTTAATGCGAAATTCTACAAAAGTCATGGAAAATAGTCTAATCGTGCCTGTGGAATATTTGCTATGGATTGTTGTTTGGATTTAATGTCTAACTAAGCATTACTGAAACAAATTAAATAACAAATTTGAAAGTAGCTCAAATTTGGACTGTTTGCATCAATACTGTAAGAACAGAAGTTGATTTATATATGTATCTACCGATATATCTATATCAATGACACTCACCGGTTAAATCAATCAATTGTTGTTGTTATTGTTATTGTTATTATAGGAACGATAGTCAGTTATACAAATTTGCCGCGCAAAAACCAAACACTCTGGCAGGATCAGACACATTGACAACAAACGACAGCTGAGCACAGCTGAGCGCTGCCCTGTGTGTGTATGTGTGTATGTACTTGTATGTATGTATGTAGCTTTGTCTGTATGTATACACGCACGTGTGTCGCTGTATGCGAGTTTGTATGCCCGACAATGAAACGTCGATAAAAACTGATTACAACTACGCCCGCATTAGCTCTTACACTAGTTTCAATAACATCAGCACTTTAACAGTTAAAATTGAATATGTCGGTTATAAATAATTGAAATAAACTGTCACGAACACACAATAAAAATTATATATGTACATATTCACGTACATATAGATGAGCACCAAGCATTCGCAGCAGCACACTGCGCGAAAAATGATTCTTTCACTATTTGCATTTGAATTTGAGCAGTAGATATTCACTGTTTACATAATTTGCGATTTGTATATTAAATAGAATTATGAAACAATATCTTCACACTCTATTATAAATTGTACTATTATTAAATTAAGTTACATATATGGCGACCGAACAACAGTTCTACGTTCGCTGCCTTTTGCTACCCAACAAACAATGGGCAACGCGCTTACGAATTTTCATACAATTGGCTAGTCGCCGAATTGTTTGCTTGGCTATGTCTGGTAAGAATGTTGCCAGATTGACAAATGCCAAAACGTTCACAATATGGCCAAGCGTAACTACAAAAGCGCGCAGAATTATCGATATACTAAAGAAATGTAAGCTATTGTTGCAAAATTAACAATTTAAAATTTTTTATCTTTGAAAGGGATGGTTTTTTTTTATAAGTTGAATACATATTTAAACTGGTTTCTATTGATTATTATTGTAATTTAAAGGGCAATCGGGTATAAAATGTAATTCACATTCAATTTGACTTAAGTTGCTTCTTTTACAAATTTAACAATGTTTTATTTACTTTGCAAAGCGATATGCAACATAAGAAATTAATACCATTTTCCCATCACTAGTGGAAACGAACACAGAATCATAAATAAAATTTATGTACATTCGTTAAATGTATTTTTCCTTTATTCTAAGACACATTTTGCACTCAAAACAATATCGAATGCTGCCTGGAATTTACAATTTAACGGGCTTGGGTTTGCCTTGCTGGGCAGCAATGCGCTCCTTGTAACGCTTGACTGCCTCCTCGCGGGAAAGGTTACCCTTGCGTGCATATCGCTGGTTGATCAAGAACTTGACATCCATCTGTGGAACAATATGAAATATGTCAGAATATGGAGTATGATAGAGGATGGTAATCTATCCTCTCATTTTTCTGTTTTCTACTTACGCCCAGGGTGGACTCGTGGCGTTTGCGCATGGGGCGCTTGATGCCATTGCGATGAGCCTTCTTGTTCTGGTTGTGATTTGTGTGATTCTTGGACTTGGCCATTGCGAGTTATCAAACTGTTTTTGCGGCAGAAGTCGGCGACCAGTCAAAGAGTGATACAACATAAAAACAAAAAATTTCCATTAGAGAACACAATTTATAGATTATTTTCTTCATTATTCAATAAAATAGCTGCCGATGGCATCGGAAAATACACTTTTGAGCAGAATTAAAATTGTTATTTAGTTTATTTGCGACCTACGTTTTTGACAGCACAGCGGAAAAGAAGAGGAAGAAGAAGCAACAATATCGATAGTCACACTTATATCGACAATTGCACTCGATATTTAGGGAAAACAGCTGTTTCCCATTTTATATACATGTGGCAACATCAAGACTACTTCACTGAGAATAGCAAAACCAACCAAATACAACGCAATTGCCTTTACGTTTAAATTGTTATAAAATTTAAACTCTTTTTATAAAGTACAATTTTATTCATATATTAGTTGCAAAAATTAAACAACTTTGCCGGTAAAAGTACACTGTGTTAGAAATTGGTAAGTAAGGTCAAATCACTTGCTCGTCATACACGACTTTTGTACTTGTGATTATATACGTAGAATACGGGCGGGTTGGTAAGGGGAGCGATGAGTCATCATCTAAAACAAGTTATCACAACAGCGACCCACTGCTATTTGCTTTGTTTTTTCTTCTTTCGTTTTTTGTAATCAGTCTGACGTCATATTCAAAGGAAAAAAATGAAAATGTCTGTCGCTTCCGCTGCTGCGCTCGCCAGCAATACAAACAGTAGTAACGCAGCCGCCGCACCGATAGTACCTAAAACGGAACCAGATCCAATTGGCACCGAGGAGTCAATGGAATTTCCAACGCCCAATAGCACTTCAACTCCCAACGTCAGCAAACGTCCAGCCTTCCTGGACCTCAACAAGAAGAATAAGCGCGCCATGGCACCTCTGCTCATTGACTCACCCGATGTACCTTTAAAGACACTTAACACGCCTGACCTTGAAAAAATATTACTCTCTGGCGGATTGTTGCAAACGCCACAGCCGGGCACAGTATTCCCCACTAAGGTGGGGCCCATCACTTCGGAACAGGAGGCCTTTGGCAAGGGCTTTGAAGAAGCCCTCCAGAATCTTCACACCAGCAAAAACTCGCAGGCGTTTCTGGGCAACAATACCAACGCTCCAACAGCTGCCAGCAATCCAGCTCCTGTTGCCCCCGCTACAATGACCGCCGTGAATAATGGCATCAGTGGAGGATTTACCTACACCAGCGTGGGTGAGTACCATTTAGTTGTATATTACAGAATCTAGCAGAGTCTAATCCATATTTCTTAATCATAGATGGCTTTCCCGTCATTAAGGACGAGCCACAGAATGCCGTGGCTTCCCCGACAGTCAGCCCTATCGATATGGCAGATCAAGAAAAGATTAAATTGGAGCGCAAACGTCAACGGAATCGCGTGGCAGCCTCGAAGTGCCGCAAACGTAAGCTGGAACGCATCTCAAAGCTGGAGGATCGTGTTAAAGTACTTAAGGGCGAGAACGCGGACCTAGCGGGTATTGTGAAAACCCTGAAAGATCACGTGGCCCAGCTGAAGCAACAGGTTATGGAGCATGTGGAAGCGGGATGCGACGGCTTGCTTGCGGGCAAATAACATAAGGATAATACCGAGGAGACTGTGCAGCAGTATATGTCAAGTTTAATATCGGACGACAATGATACAGAAGGCGAGCCGGAGGAGGTAGATGAGCAACAAGATCAGGAAATTGAGGATGCCATCGAAACGGCTGTGGATGCGGAAAGCGGTGTCGTTCTGCTGTCGACAGTGCCCTTGGAACAAGAGATTTCTTTAGAGCTTTTACTTAATGCATCATCGAATACTTTCGACTTAGATACACTTCCAAGCAATCATGTCGTAATCGAGACAATCGACCATTTGACTGACTGCAGTGAGTCTACCGGCTGATTAATGGAGAACATTTAACTTGGAGTGCCTATTTTTATATAAATACATATATAGAGACATTTAATTTCTGCTTTAACTTTAATTATACTAACGTGCAATGCCTTATTTGCTGCAACCCCATTTTATTGCTTTTGAAAAGTACTTTTTTATTTAGTTCTAGATGTACATATGGTTACCCCCATGCTTATTTATAAGATGAACAAGTATTTTATATATATTGTTTGTAAGAAGAAAGAAAAAAAATATACATACATAAATATATATACTCTATAAATTAACTGAAATCTGTGGAATGTTTTTATTGATTATAAATTTCGGGTATTCACTCTGATAGATTTATGGTTTTCTAGCAGGCAATTAAAAGTCGATGTTCAGCATAGAATAAAAATAACTTTTTGAATTCAGTTTTATAATAAAAAACATTTATTTTCATATTTGCACATATAAATATATTTTGTTATGAATTACTTATAGAAACTCTAGTTTAATTACATTTGGCCTAGCATACAAAATTCTAATTGTGATTTGTATTTGTTTATTTTGATCTACATTTAGTTTGCCTAAAATTCGAAAAACGTTTATTGTCACCTTTTGCCATTTGTTATTGTTTTGTTTTCTTGCTTTGTCTTGTTTCGATTCGAGACTGTTTTAAGGCACATAGCGGAGCTAATCACGCTCCCATCTCCAATTTGCATGCACAGTGAAGCAATGTTTATTTATTTATGCAAAATATTTTTAAAGAAAAGAAATCATACAATATAAATGAATAAGCAAAAAGGTGTATCTAAATTATGCATCTTCAAACAATAAATTGAGCTAAAAGAAAAAATTATATTTATTTATAAAAGAAACAATAATAAATAAATATATACAAAAAACCAACCATAAAAAAAAGGTAGAAAGATAAATAAGTGATGTATATCTTATGAGTTGCATGAAAAGTTCCCCGAGACCTAGCTAGAATTCTTCTACATATTAACACACTTAATCAAATTAACTAATTTGAGCCCGGAATCTAGAGATTTATGGTGTCTATAGAGCCTAGACTATTTGGTCAGCGGATAGCCATCGATTAGCAGGCTCTTCTCGTCGCTTAGCTGTTTGGGACCTTCGCCTATTTTCGTATGGATTATATATTTGAGCATATTCTTGGCATTCACATGCCCAATCGAGACATCCCGAAGACCGTTCTTCACCTCAACTGGCGGCACTGGAATCCCTTTGAGATACTCAACACTTTGCGAGGCATCATTGGGAAACGCCAGTTGGATGGCAGCCAGCAGACGCGGCACGTTCTCGGCCAGCACATAGAGGCAGGCATTTGGGCCCGCATCGAAGGTGTAAGCAGCTTGCACGGAGCCCACCGTCTCATTGTAATCGTGCACGAAATTCGCGATTGCATGCGACACGTCGTTCATGTAAACACACGGCGGATAGGTATCCAGGCAGATGGCATGCAATTGATTCGACTCCTTCATGGTGATCTCGGCAAAAGACTCAAAGTCACGCGCATCAATCGCCGCTATCAGATCCTTGACACGCTGGGGCACAACCTCTTTGGCGCGATGCTGTATCAATGCGGATGTCTGAACGCCCAGCTGCATGCCTTTGGTCGAGCCGGTCTTTTTGCGTGCATCGTTCACGACTAGGATCAGCATGTGCATATTGGGCCAGTGCTCAGCGGGCGCCAACTGCACGGCAATGGAGTCGCTGCCGTCAGCGGATGTGCCCCGTTGCCAGTGCACGAAGCCGCCGTATAAACTGCGACACGCCGAGCCGCTGCCCTGGCGAGCAATTGTAGTTAGCTCCTCGTTCATGGGCAAATCGTAGAGACGTGCCAGCGTATAGACGAGACACGCATAACCCGCTGCACTCGATGCCAGACCAGCGGCAGTGGGGAAATTATTGTAAGATGCGATATGCACCTTCCACGATAATGGAAACTTGTGGGCACCATTGGCCAGAGCCAGACGGTGTATGCCTTCCACGCAACGCATCAATCGGGCATTCTCCTCGAAGGGCACTACTTCGCCATTCAACCACATTCGATTCTGTTTAAAGCTCTCCGATGCGCTTATTGTGGTCTTTGCACACATCTCGTTAGCATCTAAAGTCATGCTGACGGAGTCATTGATTGGCAGTATTAGTTCCTCGTTTCGTTTGCCCCAGTATTTAACTAGGGCCATATTAACAGGAGCGATACACGTTGCCGTAAACATTATGCTTTAACACTAATATAAATAATAATATTCTTACATTCAGTTTGAAAACGACTTTCCCCAGCTTTCACCGTAAAGTGCGGTAGTCAGCCGATAAGCATTTTATCAACTTATCGAAAAGCCTATGGCACTCGAAGTAGCTATTTTCGATATATTAATGTAAATCTAGTATTTTTGCTAGTTAAATTTTCTCATTTATTTGCTCGCTATATTAAATCAAGTATTCAATCTGATTTTATATAGAAATGTATCATTTGTTAATCATTTCCTTTGTTGGTTTCTGCATTATTTAGTATATTTGATATCTGCATACATAAAAATACCAACAACAAGGTTGACCTGTCATTCCAGCATACTAAAACAAAAAAGTGCATTATTTGGTGTAGGTATAGAAATAATATAAACAAATAATAAAACAGAGAAAGAATTAAAATGCCACTTACTGCGGAGAGCGCTGCACAACAAATACAGGTAAGTAATAAGAGCATAAACTGCTTATCACATCCTGAAACTCATTTACAATTTGTTTTATTCACAGGATCGCCTAAAAGACATCCAACAACTTATTCACAAAGTGGATAGTGAAAGACGCCGTGCTGAAAATTCAATAGCCAGCCTTGTGCGTGCACAACAAAATCCAAATCCGAAACTAAAGACGCTGTTGCAGTCAAAAATTGCAGAGGCAAGTCAAGAGGAAGCAACAATTCGAGCAGCTCTCGCCAAAATACATGAGATACGAAATATACGAAATGAACGGCGCATTCAGGTAAGGGAATAGTTAGAAAAATATATAATACAGAATTTTAATACATTCACATATTCACAGGCTCGCAATGCCGGCAACAAAGAAGCCATTCGTCGTGGTGCTCTCATGAAAATGGTGCAGCTCTCGGCTCAGACATTGCCTCTGTTCGTTGGCAAGCCTGGCGAGCGCGCACCGCCTTTGTGCGGAGCAATACCTGCCGAGAGCAACTATGTGGCCAAGGTGGGCGACAATGTGGCTGCGCTGGCCAAGGGCATCGACGAAGAGGAGAACTGGATCCTGGCTGAGGTGGTGCAGTTCCTTCACCGTCAAAACAAATACGATGTCATTGACATAGACGAAGAGCAGAAGGATCGACATGTGCTGAGCAAACGCAAAGTTATTCCATTGCCATTAATGCGTGCCAATCCAGAGACAGACGGGCATGCGCTTTTCCCTAAGGATACAGTCGGTGCGTAGTCGGACCCTTCCCTTTAAAAAAAAATTTAGCTAATGCCAAATTCCCCGTCTTGAAATCTCTAGTCATGGCTCTGTATCCACAAACAACATGCTTCTATAAGGCCATTGTGCATCGCCTGCCACAAACTGCAACGGAAGATTACGAAGTGCTCTTCGAGGATTCATCCTATTTGAATGGCTACGCAGAGCCGCTGCCGGTGGCGCAGCGCTATGTAATTGCCTATCGCACCACCAAGAAAAGCGCGGGCAGTGGCAGCGGCAATCTCTCATCCGCCTAAGTAAGGAACAGTGGAATTGTAATAGCTATATATATAATTATTATATACATATTCATAAAACTTAATTTCTAATTGAAATCTTAGCTAATTACTCTTCATCAATATCCTCGTCTGCATTATCGTCATCCTCCTCCTCCTCCTCCTCCTCTTCATCTTCGTCCTCTTCCATGGGGGTATCTGTTTCTTTATTTGGCTCCTGCTCATCATCTTTAACGTGCAGTTGGAAGCCGTCAGCCTTTGTCCATGAGCACTTCATGGTCAAGCGAAACTTGGCCATGGGCTTGCCCAGCAATTTTAGGATTCGCGCTTGCTCCGGAGTCAGCACTTTGCCCTTTTCACAGACCGTATAATCGCTGTATAAAGTCACAATGCCCTTCTCCAGTTTAGTGGGCAAACCCAGTGATCGCAAATGCGGCTCCATTGAGTGTGCAAACTCCTCCAGAGGTCCAGCTGGCAGGGTAACGGTCTCCGTTGCTGTGAACCCGCTGCGAGCATATTCCACAGCCCAATATTTATCTGCCCACTTTAGTACTTCTTCTTTGCTCTTCTCCGTGAATAGCAGACCCACCTGACCAGTCAGGCGTTTTGAAAGCTGCAAGAGATGTTTAATAAAGCATTTATTTTTTATCCATATAAAATATTGTACCTTATGTATTCCTTTCTCAACTTCCTCGGCCTTTGTGCGACCCAAGCCGATTTGCATTATGCGGTTTTTGCCAAAAATGAAACGAGAATTTTGTTTCCATTCTTGCCGTAGATCTTTTAACAAATTGTTGCGCATATTCTGCACCTGGAAAACAAATATATTTGGATACTTCTCCACACAAAATCGGATGTCGTCGATGATGCGTTGCTTCCATGCAAGACCCTTGCGGTCGGTTTTGGTCAAGGAAACTGCAAGTAAAATCAAAAGAAAATTAATGTATTCCATTCTGTCAGGAATACCTGATGTAACCCTTACCTTTCTTATCACGTTTCGAGCGCGGCATTTTGACTTATATATGTATATTTCGGCTTGAGTCTTCTCCAAGTTTAAAAACCGAAGTAAACACGTGCGACCGCTACGATGAATGCTGTATCGGTGAATGTTATATCGATTCTCATTATATCGTTTATTATTGAGCTGCCAACGTGTCTAAATAATAAAATTCAGCCACACTAATGCTAAACAACATTTATTACGTTTGTCTAGCCCGGTCACACTGCAGCAATAGCCGACGAAAGGTGTGTTTACGTAGTAATTTTATTTAAAAATCTTAAAAGATATAATTAATTCAAAAAATTGTGTTAAACTGTGTAATTGTGTTGTCTATTAACATTCGAAACTTTTGTTTGTTGTAAGGGCGCAGTGAGTAACATATTTCGTCTCTACACAATTGTGTTACTCGGAGCGCCATGTTGTCGGCGAGAGATTGAGAGACCGCATTTTTCACATGTATCGATTTAATACGTTAAATGAATTGATTCATAATTCTTCATATTGTAAATAATATAAGAGCCCCCATATCTGATATTAGGATTGTAAGATCGAAGAAAATACATTTGTAACTGCGTCTGGATAAAATTACTGCTTCAAGTAGGACGCTGATGACGTAATTTTGTGAATAGACGAATCAAGCGACGCAGCATTGCCAACAACAAGAATTTTTTTAATCATTTAAATTTCAAAAAGCGTTTGTTGGTAGTGCGGTGTCTACTTCGACTCGGATATACTTAGCGCAATTCAATGAAAATCAACATTAGAATTAAGGCAATAATTTACTGAAGCTTATCAAAAGCACATAATTGCTGATAAGGCGTCGTCACAACCCGTGAAGTTGAAAAAATAAAATTTAATCAGTGTGCCAGAGATAAGAGCTGGAAGGCTTTAACAGGTACAAAAATAGGTTTGTGCGTTAATCGCAATTCAAGGGCTTAACCAATGGCGCAATGTACAATGGATTTCCATTTTAATTAGATTTTTTAGAATAGTTAGTAATTGTTGGTCAATTTTACAACGCACAAAGAGACACGTACAAGGCCGCAAATACAACTCGCGTAACACTCGAATTTAAAATTTAACATACGGACGTTCGTCTCATTCAAATTACTCAATTAAACGACAATTGCGCACAATTGACGACAGCAACAGCAGCAACGGCAGCGGCAGCAGCATTCGGTCAAGCTCCTCCCCAACATTATTGTGGCATGCGTCATACAATGTATAAAACTGCAGCTTGTAATGGCCAACAACAAATTTGTTTATGCTTACTGCACTTAACGTAAAAAGCTGCAGTACATCATGTGTATAATTAAGAAGTAATTTGCTCAGCTGTAATAACCAAAGTTAATCAGCAAGCTTCTTTGAATTCGAATTGGCGGATTAGGCATGACAACAACAGGTCATTTAAAACTCAACGAATCCAGTTCACTTGTTTTACACCTGGCAACTCAGTTTTTTGTAGCCAGGTTGGCAACACTCATTTTTACCTACTGTTCTCTTTGTTCTCTTCTCTCTTTTTACTTTGTGCTCTCTCAATTGCTGTAGCGGCATGCGCTGCCGTCTATGTATGCGTTTATGAGTGTGTGAAATCTACCAATACATGCATGTATACCAAATAGGCGTACACACAGATACTGCGCTTACTGTGTGCAACATTTGCCATCACTTTTAGTCGTTCGCCGTTCGTTGGTAGTCGTCGTTGTCGTTTCGAGTGAATCGAATGTAAGGTAACCAACCAATTTGCATTAGTAATATGGGGCGAAATATGTATATGTACCCACATATGTATATATTAATTATAAAATCTAAAGCGAGTTAAGGCGATAAACATGTGCATTTCGGTAGTTTATGCATTTCAATAAATTTTTCAATTCGCCAAGAACATGTGCAAACGCCGCATGTATAAAAAAATTTTCTACATGCTTCTATGGAACGATCGATAAAAATACTACGCAAAAAGACGAAAATGTTCAGAACTGTGAATTTGTGCAAAAATACGTACATGTGTATGTACAAAAGCCTGATATGCATTAGTATTGGTATATTTTGTATTAGTGTGTGTCTCTATGTGTGTGTATATATGTATATTTATACATATATATATGTAGACGTGAGATTCGTTTGCTTCGTAGCTTCGTATATTTTCAGTGCTTTTGGTTGATGTTGGCGGCCGTGGCAACAACTGACTTGGCTAATGCGAAGGCGAATTGTGGTGCTTAAGTGTGTTCTGGTCGCTAGGCGTTTTAGTCGTCAATAGCTAAAATACTTGCATACGAACGTCGGAGCGAATGACTGTGTATATGTGTGTAAATATGTAAGCCAGTCCGAATGTATTACGCATATGCACATTTAAAAGTGTGCTGCGGCGATATTCGCTTTGTAAAAAAAATGAATTTGTACCTTATGCATTGTAAATTTTGTAAAATTAATTCGTTTGGGCTATTTTTCACAGACTTGTGCATAAAAATGCACGTACGTTGTTAACTTAATTTTTATTGGATTTACTTAAAGAATTCACCACATGCATATATATACATATATTTTTCTACAGATATAAAAATATATATTACTTATAAATATATATCAAAATAGATATACTTATGAATGTACATATATATATATCTGTGTGTATGTAAGTGGACGACACACGCGGTTACGTGTTCTTTTATACCGTACTGCTCTCGCTATCGCTGCTGCCTTTGGCCGTTTGGAAATGTGTGTTCTCTTTATGTTGCTCTCTCGCTCTCCGGTGGGATTATTTTTATACTTTTTGTTGCGTGCTCTTCACAACCCTCCCCCTCACTGTGAGGCACACACACTTGTTTCTTGTTAGCTGATGTACGTTCATGGACGTATGTATGCGTAATTTCATTGGATAAGATGTACATACATACATGTATGTATGTAATTTGATTTGTTGCTTTTTAAGCGGTTCAATCGTACATCAAATCGAAGAAAAGTGAATGAAACTATTGAAAGCTCCCATTAATTGTGTCTAGTTTTCAAAACCCTGTGTATTGGAATTTTCTGCTTATCTGCATTTCTCTACAGTCGTATTTTTTCCCTCTGTACTGCGCATGTAGCCGTAACGCCGTGTAGCCGAATCTCTGTCGTCGCGACCTCATGGGGCCGGTGTGGTGAATTTACAGTTTGCCGCCCGGTGTGGTGTATTTTCAGTACTCTCGCGCACTCACACGCTCGCACCGACAACACACACACACATGCCCGTATTCGCATGGGATAGCGCCGTTTGCAACAGTCAAAGTTGCCGTCATCGCAGAACTTTAACAAACGGTTTCAAATTTATTCGCCGTTATCTTCCATCTGTACCAGTGACCGAAGCCAATGCCGTCGTCGTTGTCGCACTGACATTTCGCTAACTATTAGCTGGTTCTTCTTCTTTTTTATAACACATACAAAATTACACATAAAAGCGAAAGAATGCATGTGTGCACACGCATACTTCTATATAAAGAAAAATAGTTAGTGGCTGTGACTCTTGCAGTCGCACTACTTCCTCATTGTGAGGCATACCCAAAAAATGACGCAGTCCATGACGCATACAATTCGCTTCATTGCTAAGAGCTGATTTTGTTGGCTCCACCATTGAAACGGGAGGGAGTGGCTGATTGGATTGTAGCTATAAATGCGCACCCATATATCTATGCGTATACATGTGTATACATGCATACCCAAATAAAATTTGTTGGAATTTAGAAATTAAAATTATTCTATTGAGTATACTCCGTCGTTTCGCTCTGTTTCGTTAGTGTTTTCATCTCTTTTATTTATTTTTTTTTGTCAATAACTGTACGAAAACCTGGCAATTGACCTAAAAACGAGCAACGCACAAAAGTTGCTATTCTTACAAGCATCTATAATCTGAGTGCGTGTGTGAGTGTATGAGAACTTATCTGTACTTGTGTGCAGACTAACGTTCAATGTTTTTACAATTTGACGGTCGGATGCGATCGTTTAGAAATTTAGATAACAAGTGGGTGGTTGGGTCATTGTGACTATGCATATATATTTAGCATACGTACATACATAGAATATTTATGATCACCTTTACTCAACATTTTTACCATTTTCGCTTAAGTTTTGTTACCATTTTCTTATTTCTGCATTTTGGGTTATTGTGCATTCATCTTTGACATCTGAATACACACAAGTAATACGTTAGTACATATTTATACATATGCTTACTCACGTACCACAAAGACACAGATATACACACTCGCAAACACACACATGCAGACTCACACACCCATCAAGCCACAGATTTCTCTCTTTTATTTCATTTTCAATTTTATTCATAGTTTATTTATAACTTTTCTCTCTGTGCATGTATGTTGGTTTATTTTTTCATTGTTGTTGTTGTTTTTTGTTTCGTTCATTCCATTCGCTTGTCGTGTCGGTTGTTGCTGTTGTTGCTTTTTTAACATTTCCATTCCCATTCCCATCTCAATTTTTTACGTATCCAATGTGCATCTGGCAGTTGGGGCGCCCCAAAGAAGTCGAATGTCATGTCTTATAGCATTGGCAAACAGCAGAGTAAATCACAAGCACAAATTTGTATTAACAATGTGTAAACATAATTTGGAGCACGCCCACACGCAAGCAAAACTCAAATACCACACGCACACTCACCCACCTTTTCTGTTACCTGTCAAAAGCACATTATGATGGGCCATGGGTCCCTATGCGCAGCGGACTAACAAGGCTGCCTTGGGGGATAATAATTTTGTCGTTATTATTATGTTTCTATGTTTGTCCCCAAGGATAATGGAAAATGTATCAATCAGCCTCACCTTGCGTTTATTTATAAATAATAATCAATCAATATTTATGTAATACCTACAAATTCAGTCATGTTGTCGAGGGAAGCACTCAGCCGTTGGCTAAAAGGCAACAGGTTAACCCCCGTTTGCATCATAATATGCTTTGTAGCGAGCATGTGCATACACATACATACGTATATACATGATAGAAGTTAAATGTTAGCATGTGAAGTGACTGACTCACAGTTGCTTAACATAAAACGCAATTTATTGACATTACGACGAGGCAAACCTTTTGTTTTATTTTATTATTAGTTATCATCATTACGAGTTTAAGTAACTGCTCGACCCTGTACTTTATTTTCTCAACACTTTATATTCAAAGTCGATGAAATGAAATGAGATACTGATATGGCGAGCGTCTCGATGATTCAGTTCGGTATTAATGCTAATTGCAGCATGTGAAGCAAAAATGCTAAAACTCGACTCTTTGCTGCTAATTGCAAATTGAATTCTACAGTTAAAAATACATAAATGTATATATGTGCATGTTGCGAAACCAGTTTTGAATGTCATGTATATATATACATATATTGATGAGCGCAATATAATATCCTTTAATATCCTGTTACCCGCCCATTGACACCGCCAGCATATCTCAATATCAGCAGAAGTTTGCAACGCGCAGCTGCTATTCGCATGCGACGAGCTCTGCCACCGGCGGCAATCCTTGCTCCTTCGCACCTCAGCTCAACGTTTTTAGCCAGAGACAGCGGCAAGTTCTCGTTTTAGTCGAGTTTCGGGCCTGGTCGAAAGAGCAACACACAGCAACAGCGGCAGCGGCAGATAATTATTCGGGTTTGCAGCTGTATGTGTGTGTGTGTACGTGTGTGTGAGTGTGGATGTTAGTTAAAGGATATTCGTGTCGAAAGCTGGCGAGGGAAATAAATGAATTAATCGTAGCTTTCAATTAGATGTGGGTGGTGCCTCACAATATAAGAAAGTGTACTTATATACATACATACAAACATAGAGCACAGACGCTTTTGTTTGTTGGCTGTTTGAACAGGTTGCCAATTAATAAAGTGAATGTGCCGCGTGGGAAATTCAATTGCAATACAGTGACAATCATTAAATATATATATTTATATCTTTATTTCGATCGTTCTTTCTATTGCAGATAACCATTCACATACTGTGAGCGACGCTTTGAGCTGTGGATTCCTCCTACTTTAATTAATTTTTCTGCTGTCTATCAATTGCAACAGAGATCGTGCGTGGGCCAATACACACACACGAACACACTTATACAAATTATTCATATTCTTAGTTTGGTCAAGTAACTAAAACAAAAAAACCACAAACATGTCGACAGTCGATAAGGAAGAACTGGTCCAAAAGGCAAAATTGGCCGAGCAATCAGAACGGTAAGTGTATACATTTATTCGCAAAGATCAAAGGAATACATAATTAATTTGATTTACTTTTATATGTAGCTACGATGACATGGCCCAGGCCATGAAATCAGTCACAGAGACGGGCGTCGAGCTGTCAAATGAGGAAAGAAATCTGCTCTCCGTTGCCTACAAAAATGTGGTTGGAGCGCGCAGGTAAATTGCAAATGGGAAATATAGAGTTTCTACATATACTTATGTATATTTCTTTTTCTGTGCATACATTTATACAACAACAGGTCATCGTGGCGTGTTATTTCCTCCATTGAGCAAAAAACCGAAGCATCCGCCAGAAAACAACAGCTCGCCCGCGAGTACAGAGAGCGTGTGGAGAAGGAGCTTAGAGAAATTTGCTATGAAGTTTTGGTATGTACAGCTGCTCAACTCTACTCCATTCCACTGTGCTCTCCCATCATCTGCCCATGACCATGAATATTGTTAGGGTCCCGCAATCCGCCCCCTCCCAAAATCCACCATAGAGTAAGCAAATTATGATGAGTTCTCCTTGTTCACTGCGCAAGTCCTGCTCCCAAATGCGAGTGGGGCGGTGGTAGCTGTATCTCAATGTGGCTGGGCATCCGAGTTTTATTTTATTTTTTTTTATGTAAAAATATAACTCTAGCATGCATCTATATAAACCAATTGCTGCGTTAGTTTGAAATTACAATCGTCTTAACGGAGGGCCCACAGTACAGGCTTCTATGTATGTGTGTGTGGGTGTGGGTGTGGGTGTGCAGCAAATTGTATTACAATCAATAAATCTATTTTTAAAAAGAAATTTTCCAGACATGTTGCTGCTGCAACCAGCAACACACTCTCTTACACACACACACACAGTCATGCAATGTATATATATATAAATAAACATACAGATTAGATAGCAACAGTATCCAACAATGGCCCAACTTTGCTTGATTAATGTCAATTTAATTAGAGTTTTCTATTGAGCAGCACAGCCAGCCATATATTTTAAAGCAGTGCTCATTTGACACACTGTTGACCTATTAAGTAAACTACCTTTAGTCAGCAGACCCACTGGGCTTAAAAATAAATTAAAAGGTACAACCTACATATGTAGCCAATGTATACATATTATACGTATATATAGAAAAGCAGCTATCGCTGGGGGTTGGGACTGCGGGGCTGGGCGACTGAGGCGACTGGCTGTTAGCTTTTCTTTCTTTGGTGACAGAAAATCGATAATACTTTGAAGTGCCTCAGTCGGCTGTAAAATTGGCATATATATACATCTACAGCAGACACATACATACACATACATATATATATATATGCGCGTGTAGCTATTTCAAGTTGGGCAGCGTAATAGTATATTAGCCTAGCAGCTTTTGCTCGCATAATATTGGTTTAATAGCGGCTTATTGTGCGCGCGAAGCAATTAGGAATGTTTATTTATAAACACAAGTCTCTGTTGATCTCTTATTTACATTTTGACATCTTGTTCTGTGTTTAATCAACAGGGACTTCTGGACAAATACCTTATTCCAAAAGCCAGCAATCCAGAGAGCAAGGTTTTCTATTTGAAGATGAAGGGAGATTATTACAGGTATTTAGCTGAGGTCGCTACAGGAGACGCACGCAACAGTAAGTATCTAAATTCCATAAGCTATAAGCTCTTTAAATATATATACCTATTTAAATTATAAAACAAACAAATAAAACAACAACGTAAATGTAAACTCTATCTCTTTGTGTGATGATGCAGCCGTTGTTGACGATTCCCAAACCGCTTACCAGGATGCATTTGACATTAGCAAGGGCAAAATGCAGCCAACACATCCCATCCGCTTGGGTCTTGCACTTAACTTCTCAGTCTTCTATTATGAGATTTTGAATTCTCCAGATAAGGCTTGCCAATTGGCTAAACAGGTTAATAAAAAAATAAATTTGAAAAACAAACAACAAACCAGTAAACAAGCAAATGTCTGGCAAGCGAGCAACAAGCAACAAGTGCAACGAAAACCATTTCAAATCATAAAAACAAAACTTTAATTTTTAGTTCTACATTTAAGTTGATTGTTCATTATTCAGTATCTATATCATATTGAAAACTAATTGTGAACTTTGGTTCTTTTTTTCTTTTTGTTTCATTTATTTTGGTACCCCATATTAACGTACATAATTTAAGACGTCGTTGAGGACTCGAAAAAAGCTTATCAAGAGGCATTCGATATTGCAAAAACTAAAATGCAGCCAACACATCCAATCAGATTAGGTCTTGCACTCAACTTTTCCGTCTTCTATTACGAAATTATTAATTCACCAGCGAGGGCTTGTCATTTAGCTAAACAGGTTCAATCTCTTTCTTCACAAATCTTGTTTTCTTTGTTTCATATTAATTATTTAAATATTGTTGTTAAGTGGCTAACTAACTAACTAATGCAAATACAGATACAGACAGACACACACATACACCCACACAAGTCCGTGGCACGTACGATATAAGCATACGCCTACGGTCATCGCATGTTACGTAAATTATAAATTGGCTTAATTAATTCATTGATGAAAGCCTGGCTTATGTACCCCGTTACATGTATGGCTTTTAACCCTTTATAATGCAGTCCGTATCTTGCTGGTGAAATTATTAATGATTCTTAGAGAAAGTGCATTAACCGTTAGGTCACAGAGTTCAATATCGTATAATAGTTTAATAGTTCTTATTTTTGCTAGATGAATTTATGATTTTTGATTATTTTGCTTAGTTGCTGAATGAAACAAAAACAATTAAAGGTATAATTGTAAATACTAAAACATTTTTTTTATGGAAGTGAAATGCTTTGGTTTTGCACCTGAACAAGAACTTGTACTTTCATATTTACCTTGCCGGCATTTTGCATTGTTATTGTTGTAATTACATTTGATCAAATACTAAATATATATATTCTTATTGTCCCACATTATAGGCGTTCGATGACGCGATAGCCGAGCTGGACACACTCAACGAGGACTCATACAAAGACTCAACACTCATCATGCAATTGTTGAGGGATAACCTGACCCTTTGGACCTCCGATACCCAGGGTGATGGCGACGAGCCACAGGAGGGCGGTGACAACTAACCAAACAACTAAAATGTTTCCTTTTTGACTATGCAAATATTATTCAGTAATACAAACAAAAACAAACAAAACAAAAGAAATATAAAAAGAAATCTTTGAAGTCGAAAGCAGCAGAGCAGTAATGTAATAATAAAAGCAACATCAAAATCAGCATCAGCATCGACACAAATCTAAACAAACAAACAAACAATACACAACAATATTATACAAAACAACAAAACACTACAACATTAACAATTCAGCAGAATAATGATTCAGCTCGCGGCTGTGTGATGATAGTTTAGAGGCTGAGAAGAGTTTAGGTGAGAAGACTATTGTCATGCAACTGTTTGAGGAAGAAGAAAAAATGAATCTGGTTTATAGACAGTTTATATATTGTATACAGACGAACAAATGTCGTTCGCCGCGTCAAATCAATACATGTAAAGTCGATTAAAAAGTCTATGAAGAGAAGGAAATGTAATATGAAATCAAATGTCTTAATTTGCTTCACATGCCGTTCAAGTTGTCTTTGTTAGTAAAATGCTCTTGCAAATATTCACAAATGGAACTATCTGAGTCAAAACTTATAAATACAAAATATAAATATATATAACTAAATATATAAAAATGAAGAAAAAAAAAATAAAAAACATCTATCAGCTATCCAGAACAAGAATAAGAACAGGAACAGGAAGAGTGTATTGTATGGCAAAGATGTGAATTTTGTTTTGTGTAGTTAATTACTATTCCGCTGTTTTGGCCAACTGCGTACACTATACATATGCCTAAAATATTATTATTTATTTTAATTATGTTTTAATAAATAATTATCATACTGTTTTACATTAACATACAAACAGCAAACAACAAACAAACAGAACACAAGACACAGTCAACAAGAAATTTATTGTCTTTTATTTTTGTTTAATGCGCTGCGCCGCTTTCCTTAATAAAAAACAACAATAATAAAGAAAGGCTAATTGGTTTATACAATATAAATAATGTAATTACAAATAATGCCCTCTATTTTTCGTCGTCAAAGAAGAAGCCTATACGAACCAAAAGAAACAAATTATGTATTATTTGTAATTATCTTTTTTTCTAAAATACAACAAATAAAAACAACATAAACCTAAACTTTTATTTTCAACCAATTTATGTTCTCTATTTCCTCATTTGCTTTCTCTGTCTCCCACACACATACACAGTGCTGCATTTACAATGCCGTTATCGATTAAAAAAAGAGAAGAGTAAACAGTGTGTTAAATTCTTGTAAACTAAATAAATGGTTATATAGTTTTGCAGTCAAGCTAGCTGTGGTTAACATACACAAGCGCTATATATATATTAATATATGTAGATATTCACTCTGCATCAATGCAAGCAACTTGTTCCATTGCGCGGATAGCTTAAAGGGCATGAGTTCTATTGTGCCCGTTTGAACAAATCTTTGTTTTTTCTTTCTCCTTGTATGTAAATCAATCGGTTATTCGGATTCAAAGAGTAAATGAACCAGTAATGTTGCCATCCTGGAACTAGTATCAAAATTAATCGTACGATCGATGCGATAACTATTTATAACGTACTTACATATACAAATATACTTACTATATGCAATTATGCAAATGCAACAGCAATAACAGTATCAATGTGCAATTGTTATAACTAAATGTCTCAGTGTTTACTTTTTATATTTTTATTATCATCTATATGTTTAAATGTAAAACCCCAAGCCTAAAAAAAAAAGAAGAAAATTAAAAAAAAAAACAGGTGTGTGAAGCAACTATATAAAAAAGTAAAAAGAAAAAGCAAATTTTATTTTTCGAATGATGCCAATTGTTGCTAAACTCAACTAATTCAACATTCTGCTTTATTGTTGATATTAAGTTTGGTTTATCAGGGCATTTAATTGCAAAAGAACAGGAAATTGATAACTAATCAAAATACAAATACAACAGAAATTACTTATATTGACAGCTAAGTAGATCCAATTTTAATTCGAGTTGGCAACAACAACAAGAGCAAACGCCAAACCGAGAATTTAAATATGATCTATGCAAATGTGTATAAAAACTGTATAACTGTATATTTTCGCAATTGAATTTACGCTTACAATATACAAAATAAAAAAAAAAACCGAGTCGAATAACCCAAATGGAAACTGCAAATACATAATACACAGACATAAAAAAACAAAAAAAGAAAAAACATTCAAAATGTGTTGAAGAACAACAACAACACAACATTGAGCACACATAAATTGTATGTGTGTGTGGAGGCAAAGATTGATGTGAAAATTTAAGTTTATTGAAATTACAGTTTCTTAATTACCAAAAAAAAAAAAGAACAAAAAAATAAAAATACAAAAAAAAATTGTACTGTGTTTATTATGCTCTATTCTAATTTCACCTTAGATTATAGGTAAGAAAAAAATATATAAATATTATATTCTATTCTAATTTCAGCTTAGGACTATGGGTAAGAAGCAAAGATTTTATAAAAAAGTTTGAGAGTTCAGTTAGATTTACTTTACGAATAAACTTATAACTGGATTCATTCTTATTGATTCAAAAACTACACTGAATTAGTCTTATAAGCTGGTTTATGTATACAATCTATTCATACACGCACAACTTCAATATAATGAAATGAAAATGAAAACGAACAAAGTAGGTCATTTCTTTTCGGACCTTTCTCAAAATTAAGTAGATTTTTTTTTTTTAGGAATGCATAACTGTAAATTTCAAGTTTTGACGAAGTGCATAGCTCGGTATGTGCCGAAGAGTCGGTCCAGTCGATCTATACAAATCTATATCCCAAATATCTTTAACAGCAACCTCGACAATGCTTTTCACTTCCTGAAAGTTCTGCCCGCATGCTGTTATTCTGGCCGAGGTAATGCTTGTGTTGGGAGAATAGCCGTCTCTATGCTGCTGCGGAATGGTTATTCACAGGACTATCGTTGTGTCCTTTTCAGTCAGCGCAGCGATAACGAAAAGTTGCTGGCCTTCAAGAACAGAATGACCAGCTGTGCGGATGTTGCCAGGAAGTACGATTACCTCATGGACTTGATGAAGGAGAATATCAACTTGTATTATCGCTACCTCTGCGACAATACAGCTGAGGTGTTGACCGTGGTGAATGCGGTGGACAGCGCGCTCGATGACATCAGTAATCTGGGATTGAGTGTTACCAAGAGGTAAGCAATGTGTTCTACAATTTGATATTTACGTCATAATCATTTCCTATGCCTAAAGTCCGAATATGCAACGACTTGTGCACGTAACTCGAAGTTTGGATTTCGATCGTACTGTGAACCATATAAGACAATATATAGATGCCGAGAACAAGAAGAAAGCTCAAACACGCTTTGGCTTTGCCTTGAAGAAGAAACAAAAGGAGCAGAAAACGGGTAAACAGAAGGACAGGCAGAAGGAGAGGCTAAAGGAGAAGGATAAGCATGAGAAGCCTGTGCGTGTGAAACTTCCACGTCGTTTGAAGAAAAATGTAATGAAAACAACGAAGCGAAAATATGTAATTTATCTGAAAAGATTAAGGTTAAGCCAATTGGTGAAAAAAATGCCTACTGAATAATTCATAACAACTACAATTACAAATTGAAAGTAAGTTTCGCAATGGGCCTTTCTCGGCGATTTTCATGCCATCTAATCCGTGCCCTCTATGTAGACAAACAATTCGATGTAATAGCTAAAAATATGATAAGTATACATATATGTAGTATGTATAATTAACTAGCAATCATCGGATATCATCGAATTATTGCATCTGGATTACCTATTGGACTACTGGAGTGGGATTTACTTTGTTGGTCACTGAAACTATTTTAATTTGTAATTTTATTTTTTATTTATTCAAGTCAATTGATCATATCGATCCTTAGCGGCACTGCTCGACTGGTTGATACCTCCGAGCTGTTTTATATACATACATATACTGTTCAAACTATTCCTAAAAAAAAACTCGATATATGTTTTTATTTACTATTAATATTAGGAAACTAGAGCCAAAATTCCATTTCTTTGGCTATTTGCCCAACAGCGAATAGTGAATTCTTAATTTTAAATTAAAATATTTGTTTAAACAGAGTATGCCAGAGTATGCCAGTCCTTAATTGATCGGAGACTTGACATATAATGTAAATTGTAATTTATCTTACACGTAGTCAAAATTGAGTATGTATTTTATAGATAATAGTGATTTGTAGTGATTTGTCCCTTTGGTAATTGATATGCATGCATTAAAATTTCGAGTATTTTCCAAATTATCAGCCCGGTATGTACGAGCTAATGCGTAGTACCCAAAACTGATCGAAAGCCATCGCCCATAGCCTAGTCGAAAAACAGGAACTATTGCCTACGACCCAACACTGTCCCAGTAAACCGCAGTTGTCCGAGCCGTCTCAATCGGATTCACAATTGGAAAGCGCCCAAGTCATTGAAGTGAGTTGAATATATATAGAATTTTGAATATATTATAGTATTATCTTTGCAGTATAAAAACAATCTGTGGCATGGCTGCTCCGATAGATTAAATACTTTGACAATGGAAATTAATGCAAAAATGAATTCCATGTTTCTTAATAAGTAAGTGAGATTGCAGAGATTACAGCCAAAATATCTGTAGGTAAACCATTTCAAGTCCTAAGCTAGAATATTATTTCTTGAGGAAGCGGCAATTGGATAAAGCTTACTGGGCAAATGCTTTAAAATGCCACCCACAGAGTTTAAATGAATTAATCCTTTTAAGCAATGAATTACTCCCATTGATAAGCGGTGTACATTTTATGGGATATGATGACAATGAGTCTTTAATGTTTGACGAATCATCTCTTGGCCAGCCAGAAGGCGTACGGCTTACCAACTATACTAAATTTAAAAACAAATATGTAAGTAACATAATCCCAATTAAATGCAATCGGTTAAAGTTTAAAATACTAACGGCTAGACGCATGTAAGTGTGGTGAAAAGCTTCCGATATGCCATGCAGAAGCAGGCTGGCGTAACAGAGCTTTTGTCTGGCAATGCGCGCACAGCTGTTGCACAGCTGTCAATATGACACTCACTGTGTGTATGTGTGGGGTAAACAAAAAAAGTCCAATAGAGTAATCGCCCATTTTCACCCACAATAGGGACAAATTGATAGCAGAAACTTGCCCGCATTACTGTTAAAATTGGTTGCATTAATGAAACATATTACCAAAAATCGCGCATAGTGCCATTACGCTTAAAACGTGACGGTGCGACGCGATAAAAACGCCAGCCAACCAGTTCATTGCATCAGTGTGCCGTGTAGTTGCGCTTAACGCAAAGCGTTTGCTGCGTTTAAAGGTCACCTTGAAACGTCAAAACCGAAACTTCTGCGCTCGACCGCCGCTCTCGCGCCCAGTTTGTGAAAATCGTCTCGCAGGCACATAGCCACGGCATCTGTGGCCAGCATAAGATTTGCGCAGTTCATTTGGACAACTCAGCTTCCTCGAAGCTCCTCCAGTTGCGCTGTGAATCATTCACAAAATATTTCCCATTGGGTGCATCCAACTTGAACTTCAATACGTGCGTCCGCCTCTCACTCTCACCTCACCTAACTCTCTCCCTCTGCGTGCGTGCGTGTGTGTGCGTTGCCGTTGTTTTTTGAATCGATTAACTTGTATTTGAATAACTTTTAAATCGAAAGAGGTGCTTGGCCAAAAAATGAATAGTGATACTAATCAACGTTTCCTGGCACGCGGCTCCCAGCGCGACAAGGGCCTGGCCGTCTTCACCAGCGGTGGCGACTCCCAGGGCATGAATGCTGCTGTGAGGGCATGTGTGCGTATGGCCATCTACTTGGGATGCAAGGTGAGTTTTGACCTCTGCCAAGTGCTTTTGCATTGGTATATATAATTTGGAAATACACATTGACACATATGTATACATACACACATACATATTATTCACAAAAATGTTCTTATCGGTTACCGGAACAAGTTCAGCCATTGAACTTTATGGTCTACAGCAGACTCTGTTATGCATATATTTATATATAGCAAATTTATATATATCAGCTGAACTTGCAATTAAATCATAATGAAGGAAAAGAAATAAAACAAATTAGCTTGTTCTGCTGGCGGTGTGAATTGCCGTTAGATAACCCAGGGGGTAGCAAAAAAAAAAAAAAAAAAAAAAAAATTCAAATAAAAGCGCCTCACACTACGTTCACAGAGAACACCAATACATTGACAATACCACTACACACAGGCGAATCTTGTGTCCGTGTGCGTTTGACATTGAGTTTATTTTCGGGCAACTTACAGACGATCACGCAGATATATCTGAGAAAATGCGGTTATTGTTTGAAAAGTGAATTACTATTTGCCTATTATTGGTTTTATTGATCGACTCGAGCAAGTGAATTCGGTTTTTGAGCGTCCAATATGCCAAATTTTTATCACACTCTGTGAGAGGGCAAAGAGTTGAAATTTTAAATAATTGCAATTGAAATAAATTATTCAAAATTTTACGTTGATGGTGATGATGATTTTTGCAATGAATAAATTGTCGCAAGGCTGATGTTTCTATTTTACTTTTTTTTTCAAAGTCACTTTCATTTTCTTTTATTCACTTTTGATTTATATGCTAAATTATTCTGGGTAACATTAAATTATGCATATATGTATGTATATATGTTTATTATATAAAAACAAAGTCAATCAGCGATACAAATTTCTTATTTCAGGCAAGGAGTTAAAAGCGAAAACGAGTTCAAAATGCTGACTCGAGGGGTTTTTCAATTCTTATTTTGTTTTTTCTTATTTACTTTGTATTAATTCTTAACTTCTGGTTTTATTTGACAACATATAGATTAATAATCTCGTTTAGGTCATTCAATTATTTTTAAAGAGCTTTATCGCCTATTAAGCCCGATAAGTACTGAGCTATATGCAATAATATATATATAAGGAAATACTCATATTAATAAAATGTACATTTTATATCATTATATATGATGATATTTTTATAGTTCGAATTTTATACCAATAAAACGGAAGCTTTACAAAGCATTTATTGAACTTTAGTGAATTAAATTCTAATTAAAAAATTTGTAATATATACATAACAGATATATGTATATATGTAAAAGGAAGCTCTAAAAAAAGCAATTAAAAATTAATAAAAATACACTTAAGATTGTTTTTAATAGCCGAGCATTCGTTAGACTAACATATTAAAATAATATATATTTATTTATATATTATTAACTATATATATTATAAAGATTTTGGAAAGTGTAGTCAAATCAAGAATGACGCAAAAAAAATCAATATTTTGAAATAAAATAGTAACAATTCTTGGAATTTCATATTTTATGATTTATAAATGATTCATATTTACTTCAAAAGAAATTTATTGAAATCGAATATAATACCTTTTTTCAATAATTTGTGACTTCAGGTCTACTTCATTCGTGAAGGCTATCAGGGCATGGTTGATGGCGGCGATTGCATTCAGGAAGCATCTTGGTCGTCGGTGTCATCGATCATACATCGTGGCGGCACCATCATTGGCTCCGCTCGTTGCAAGGACTTCCGTGAGCGTGCTGGCCGCCTAAAGGCTGCCAATAACTTGGTGCAACGCGGCATTACCAATCTGGTGGTAATTGGCGGCGATGGCTCGCTGACTGGCGCCAACCTGTTCCGTCAGGAATGGTCCAGTCTGCTGGATGAGCTGGAGAAGAATAAGAGCATTACCCCTGAGCAGAAGAACAAGTACAATGTTCTGCATATTGTTGGATTGGTAAGTCTTCCTCTCTCTCTCTCTCTCGCTCTCACTCTTACTCACTATTTATTTACCCTTCCAGGTGGGTTCGATTGATAACGATTTCTGTGGCACGGACATGACCATTGGCACGGATACGGCCTTGCACCGCATCATTGAGGCCATCGATGCCATTGCTAGCACTGCCTACTCGCATCAGCGCACCTTCATCATGGAGGTCATGGGTCGTCATTGCGGGTAAGCCATTTGTTATCAATGAATCTAAGCTGTTTTAGTTAGCCTGTCTGTGATGTGTAACTAGTTACGTATAAAGTGTTAGCTCTGCTCAGTGTCAAATTCCAAATGCTAAATGCCTTCACTACTTATAGTTATTTACCAGTTGTCGCCGGCGTTATATCCGAGGCAGACTATGTCTTTCTGCCCGAGTACCCGCCGCCACAAGATTGGCCCGATAGACTGACCCTCAAACTGGACCAGGCAAGCAATCAGCCATCAGCCATCAGCTCTCGATTGTTGAATGTCCCGCATACGAAAACTTTCTTTCTCTCCATATATACAATATATATATCTCTATCAGACCCAAATCGTTCTGTGTTCTCTTTCGTTTACTTGTGAATCAAACATTCAATGTTTGTGTAATGAGATGGATAAGTCTAAGTGTTAGGTTAATAATTAAGGGAATGATAAAATAATTAGAATGAGCTAGTCTAGTTATATATCAACTGATATTATTTATAATTGTTATATTAATTTAGGCAGATTTTAGGGCTAATTAAAATGAATATATCTTATTTATGTATGATAGTAGATAGTGATGATGAAATCTATTGAAACTATATGAAGTTATAATTAATATTCCTCTTCTCCTCAGCTCTTTTATCTTACATTGAAGTGATGCTCATTTCGTAATGTTTCCTAATTTGTCGCTCTCTTTCTCCCAGCCCTTTATTGACTCTCTCCTTTTGATTTTCCCAATATATATACTATATAGTATATATATGTATATTTGTACGGCATATATGTATAACCAAATAATACAAACACACATATATTTTTACAGTTATTTAGCGCTCGTTGGTGGCCTGGCCTGCGAGGCCGATTTCATATTTATACCCGAAATGCCGCCGAAAGTCGATTGGCCAGATAGGCTTTGCACTCAGTTGGCCCAGGCAAGAAGTGATATTTTATTTAAAAAAAAAAAAAACAAAAGCTACCAAACACAATATTTCTCATAATGTGTTTGCTCTTTCTCTATTTTTCTATCTCTCGCGCCTCATCTGCTTTTCGTTGTTGCAATAGACAACAGCAGCAAAACATAGAAACATTGCATTTCACCCACCCACACTCACACAGACATATAGACACAGACACACACACTTGCGAGCAGGAATTATTCAGATATTATATATATATATCATGCATCAAGTTATAAATTCTTTTGTATATATATTTTTGCCTTTATTTTATATAAATATTCGATTCCAAAACTAGATATATGATGAACCCGAGTTAAACCAAGCTACCCACCCACCCAATCCTTGTCTATCCGTATCCTAAGCATATTGTAATTAATGAAAAATCAATTAACAATTCATTCACCTGTGCGCATCGTGTCTTTCTTCGGTGTGTTTGATTTATTTTCGTTTTTAGCTATTTGGCAATTTCAGCCGCCATTGCCACAGAGGCTGATTTTATGTTCATACCCGAAGAGCCCGCACCAACTAACTGGCAGGATGATCTGTGCAAAAAGTTAGCTCAGGTCAGCCCACTGCGAAAGGGTTTACCTTTTCCAGTCAAATTCAATATAAGTCTATGCGATGGTATTTTGTTTTTCGGCTTACTACTAAATTATTCAAATTGTATATACATATATAGAAGAAAAAAGAAACATTAATTTAACAACTTTTTCTAACATTTCTAACAGACGTTTCAAAGAGCAAGCAGCTTTTTGTCAAAAACTGATTCTAGACTACTAATTGATTGGCTATTTAATTGATTTTTATTGGGTTAAAGTGTAGCCACACACACACACATATAAACAAATACACTTATTTACTTTTTGCTGGACAATTTAATTGGCTTCTATTACGCCTTCGTTTACGTTTATTTTCACTGTATCTTAGCTTGATTAGTAAATATCTATATATTTATGGATTATTTGTTAATTTACTTTTAGCGTGTTTCCTTTCAAATTCATTGTTTAAGCTACACATATACAAACAAACAAAAAAACACAAACATTCTCTCTCTCTCTCTCTCTCTCTCTCTCTCTCTGTCTCACCTGTATTTATCATCGTTTAATTTTGTTTGTAACCTCACATTTGTCGTCATCTATTCACATAGAAACATATATACATGTACATATATTATTTCTTAGATCATTATCATTATCATATTTTCGTAGCACTTTGTATATATTTTGAAGTTCTTCATTGCTTCTATGTACACACTCAAGTTACTAACCCGCTCATTTTTTGAGATTTGCATAGAACGGTGCAATGTCTAACGTCTCTTGCTTTCGTTCTCAAACAGGAGCGTTCAGCTGGTCAGCGTCTGAACATCGTCATTGTGGCCGAGGGAGCCAGTGATCGGGAGGGCAATCCAATTACCGCCGAGCAGGTGCGCAAGGTGATCGACGAGCGTCTCAAACACGACGCTCGTATCACTGTCTTGGGTCACGTGCAACGCGGTGGCAATCCCAGCGCCTTCGATCGTGTCTTGGTAAGTAATTGCAGTTCTCTATAATTAAACTGAGACTGAAGTGTAGAGTAGATAATTAGAAAGTGTTTAAAAATGCCAGACTTAGAAATACTCTGTATTCGAGGCCATTTTTAAAAATCGATCATTTATTTTTGACTTCTTTCGATCGTATGGGTGCTGGGGCCCATTGATAATTTACTTTTACTTGTTCATTACTTATATTTTAAATAGCTCCCATAGAAATTATCGATAAGTGAATTTTAAATTTTCATCATGTAAACAGGCTTGCCGCATGGGCGCCGAGGCCACATTGGCTCTGATGGAAGCCACGCCGGAGTCAGTGCCGGTGGTCATCTCGCTGGACGGCAACCAGACGGTTCGTGTGCCTCTTATGGAGTGTGTGGAGCGCACCCAGGCTGTAGCTAAGGCCATGGCGGAGCGTCGCTGGGCCGATGCTGTGAAGCTGCGCGGTCGTTCCTTTGAACGCAACCTGGAGACCTACAAGATGTTGACGCGCTTGAAGCCGCCCAAGGAGAACTTCGACGAGCAGGGCAAGGGCATCGAGGGCTACAGGCTGGCTGTGATGCACATTGGTGCGCCGGCCTGCGGCATGAATGCGGCCGTGCGCAGCTTTGTGCGCAATGCCATCTATCGCGGCGATGTTGTCTATGGCATCAACGATGGCGTTGAGGGCCTCATTGCTGGCAATGTGCGCGAGCTGGGCTGGTGAGTAAGAGAAGTAAAGATGTAGTTAAAAATATTCAATAATTGACTCCACTCCACAGGTCTGATGTCTCTGGCTGGGTGGGTCAGGGTGGTGCTTACCTGGGCACCAAGCGTACTCTGCCCGAGGGCAAGTTCAAGGAGATCGCCGCTCGCCTCAAGGAGTTCAAGATCCAAGGTCTGCTGATCATCGGTGGTTTTGAGAGCTACCACGCCGCTGGCCAAATCTCCGATCAGCGCGACAACTATCCAGAGTTTTGCATACCCATTGTGGTTGTGCCAGCAACCATTTCGAACAATGTGCCCGGCACCGAATTCTCGCTCGGCTGCGATACCGGCTTGAATGAGATCACCGAAATCTGCGATCGCATTCGCCAGTCGGCCCAGGGCACCAAGCGTCGTGTGTTTGTCATTGAGACCATGGGTGGCTATAGCGGCTATTTGGCCACGTTGGCTGGCCTGGCTGGTGGTGCGGATGCCGCGTATATATATGAGGAGAAGTTCTCCATCAAGGATCTGCAACAGGATGTCTATCACATGGCATCCAAAATGGCCGAGGGCGTGTCTCGCGGCCTCATCTTGCGCAATGAGAAGGCCAGTGAGAACTACACCACTGACTTCATCTATCGCCTGTACTCAGAGGAGGGCAAGGGTCTGTTCACCTGCCGCATGAACATCTTGGGCCACATGCAACAGGGTGGCTCTCCCAGTCCATTCGATCGCAACATGGGCACCAAAATGGCCGCCAAGTGCGTCGATTGGCTGGCCACACAGATCAAGAACAACATCGACAGCAATGGCGTCGTCAACTGCAAATCGACCGACACAGCAACACTGCTGGGCATCGTCTCGCGGCAGTATCGATTCACGCCCCTGGTCGATCTCATTGCCGACACCAACTTTGAGTGAGTGCCACAATAGTAATCTCTATACAGAATTGATCTGAGTATTTTCGTCATCTCCCACAGTCAACGCATACCGAAGAAGCAGTGGTGGCTGCGCCTGCGTCCATTGCTGAGAATTCTGGCTAAGCACGACTCGGCCTACGAGGAGGAGGGCATGTACATCACCGTCGAGGAGGAGTGCGCCACAGATGCCGTCGCTTAGACAGCTGAAGAAGAATACAACAAACACTTATCATGCCCAGTGCACATAGAAAACATCGTAGAATCAATCTTAATGTTTATTTCTATTCTGACATTTGTTTCTATTATTGTTTCATTTATATAGTAAACATTTTTGACATATTTATACGATAAACATGTCTCTCAGCTCAGGTCAAAGTTTAAACAGCTAATATTTACTGATATTTAGCCAATCTAACCATACCCTAGAGTGAATGTGTGCACTCCGAAAAAATCCATGTCAACTAAGTGTATTTCTAATGTATACATACATACATACGCACATGTATATACCTTTCTATATATATACATATATCCGTATCAAATATGCCGCCACAATAATTATTTATAATTTTCTTCATAACTCCACTTTGTAAAATTTTCCTTATTCACTTATTGCTTATTTATTTTAGTTTATGTTTTTCTCACTTTGAATATATATTTATAGCACATACATAATCCATACATGAAATTGTTTACTATTGCTTTCACCTTTGCATGTGTATTACATAAACACATCAATTACAGCAACAAAAACCCGGTAAATGTTTTACCTGGCAACATTTACTCACACAAATTAAATGTATTGAAACACACTATTAGTATGCTATCGTCATTGTTGCAAAAATACATATATATATATATATATATATATATATATATACAAATGTTACAAATACTATAACTATTATATATATACACACAAGCTCCATAGGGCATATACGAGTTTTGCTAAGAGAATATAGAAAACAATTGTTAAATGATTACAAGGTCTAAATAACGTCGATATTCAACTTTACAACTTAAATACAAATTTAAAACACACATTTCCATATTTAATTACTTTCGCATTATATTCTACTGTTACTGCTCGTTCATTTCCGTTATACTTTTTTTGAACGCGAACGACTCGAATGAGCTGAGTTGCCTAGCTAAAGTGTGGCAACACTGCTGAGTTCTGTTTGCTACGATATGGTAGCACTACCAAATAAATATAAATAGTATAAGAGACAGTACAGAATAATTTAAATACACTAAGAGTTTTGTACGAGATTGATTGATTCGATCTTCACAAGCCGCCTCCGGACCGCTCGACCGTACATTCGCTTTGTTTGCGCCGCCGGCGGCTTATTGCCGAAATTTTCTGGTCTAAATGCATCTTGGCATAACGTAAATATGCCGTGTCTCCGTGCACAATGGCCGACATGAGCATGAGGAATTCATAGAGATTTACCTTGCCCTGGGAGTGACAGTCAATGTCCCGCAGCACGTCGTGCATCAGGTCCACCGGCACCTCTTTAACACCGAACGACTTCATGGCCGCACAGCATTTGTTTATCGACACGAAGCCCGTATTGGCCTCGTCGAGATTTCTGAAATGCTCGGCATACTTCTGCACCTGATCCACAGACAGCTTTATGGGTATATTCATATGAATTGGATCGAATTCGGTTGTATTTCCCATTTGAGTATTTAGAAATTCTTGCGCTTCTTTGATTTCTCTTAATCGCCTAGCTCGGCTCCATTTCAGCTCGCGCGCCATTTCGCTGGCCACGCGCGGCAAAATATCCTCGGCCGCCTGGACATTAAGAAAGGCGACACGCAGTCGACGTGCCACCATGTCGACCAGGGTGCAGGCATAGTCCCTAACCCCCTGTCGCACCTCCGCCTCAATATAGGGAAATTCGGAGTGCAACCGTTTACCTATAATGGGCCACACGCTGCCACTGGCGTTGGCGCCAACGGCCACCTTGAACGCATTTGAGCCGTATGTGTCGGACAAGTGCTTGGCCACATCCCGCTCCAGACCGAAATCCTGCACCAGTCGTATAAACATGTTTGGTGACCAGCCAATGGCGCCATCCAACTTGCATGAGGTCGCCGTAATCGAATGCTTTCGCAACGGCTGAAGTCCACCATTGATAATGGCAGCGTCTATAGCCTTCTCTGCTATCAGCCGGAACGATGTCCATGTGCCGCCCACGATTGAAACCATGTTACCGGGCCCTATAGAAATCACATGGTTCTTGAGCGTCGAATGGGCCAGCTCTGTCGACTGAGTGGGAAGCGGCTTATAGCCGCCCCAAGCTGCGAGCACGTCACAGCGGCGTACATCAAAATTTGGATTAATGTAGTTTCTGATGCTGTCCAAGAGATACTGAACCTCCATCTCTGTTGGCTGTTTCCCCTGGGTGGCCTCGCGTGTGTCATCCGAGGTGCCCATTAGCGTATGCCCCAGCCAGGGTAAAAAGAATATTGTCGAACCGTTGTCCGTGTACGGATCGAAGAGCCCTACCTCTTCGGGACAGTAAAAGGGCGGCAGCACAATGTGCGAGGCCCAGGTGGGCGTACACTGCTGCGACGCACTAGCATCCTCCAGGCGGATAATAGAATCACTCATGGGGCCAGTTGCATTGATGACCATTTTGGCGCGAATCGTGTAAGCTCGGCCGGTCAGTTGATCGATAGCTTTGGCTCCAATTACAGTTTTGTTCTTGTCCCGCAGCAGATCGACCACCTTCATGTGGTTGCAGACGTCGGCGCCATAGCGGGAGGCGGTCAAAATGATTGCGAGACACATCCGAGCGTCGTCGTGCTGGCCCTCGTAGAAGACGAAGGCGCCAACCATGTCACGGCGCATCATCGGAAACATTTCGAGGGCCTTCCGGCTATTGATGTATGTGAATCCTTTCGATGTGCCCGGTGCCATTAAGTGATAGAGACGCAGTTTCATCCAATAGACAGGCAACTGCCACCAATTGTGTACGGGCAGCATAATTGGCACCGACTGATTGAGGTGCGGCGCCAGATTGGTAATGTTTCTGCGCTCCTGCAGCGATGAGTGAACACGCCGAAAGGCGGACAAGTCGAGATGTGTGATTGCATGGTCCAAATCTCGCAGACCGCCGTGCAGTAATTTACTGGATTTCGACGAGGTGCCACTACCAAAATCATCGGCCTCAACCAGGGCAGTCTTCAATCCACGTGTAGCTGCATCTAGAGCACATCCAGCGCCTACCGCTCCACCGCCAATGATCAGAACATCGTACTCGGTGCGACGCAACGCATCTAAATTCATGCTGCGTGTGGGCAGCTCACGTTTCATCTGGGGCGCTTTGCTTCGATCCTGGGCAGCTCCGGCAGCAGAGAGTGCAAACATTGAGCTGCCGGCCAGGACAGCTACGTGAATAAATTTCGACATGGTAACATTAGTTGTGATACAAAAAAAGAAAGAGTTCGAAAATTAATTTTGTTTTGACAAAAGAACAAACAAAGCAATTTCGAATACATTCATATTTAATAGTCTATTTAAATATATGTTTGTGTATATTTCTGTTGCGTGTTGGAAAGTTAAACAATTATCTAGCTCATAAGAAAACTCAAACCCACTTACTATAGCAATTAGTACAAAAACAAGATGCCAAAACATGCACATTTTTAACTTTTAAACTAAGCACAAATTCTCTCTACAAATTCCGCCAGCGACAATGGCAAGCGCGCAGCCAAACGCCTCCGGCAAGTGCATGAGACACAACAGTATTAGTATTTAAAGGCAGGGTATCTGGAAATCAACTCTTTACATGTGTGTCTCTCTCTCCCCCTCTCCCTCTCTCTCTCACTGTGTGGAGGCGTCAAGTGGTGCAGCATTGAGGCGAGTGGGAATTATTTATTGACTTTATTGCTGCTTAGCATTGCCAAAGTAGAATTTGTAAAAGAACGTAGCAACCAGACAGAGAACCAGTGGCACTATCCACGATTTCAACGAACTCTCCTCGTTCTGTGTCTCTGTGCTCCAGGTGGGTTCCGATTTCTGGGCAACTTTCGTGCGCTCGTGGGCAACCAGTTCACCAATTTTGTACTTCTTCATCATGTCGCGCGCGTCGTGGCTGTGGCCAACATCCTCAAAGTTCTCGGTGGCATCTTTGCCCGCCTGCTCGATCAGCACCTCTTCACCGCCGGGATGCTGAAAGAAAGCAAATGAATAACGAATATTAAGTACGCTCTTTTCATATGCCAAACTATGCAAATGATTTGCTGCCGCCTTCTACGCTGACCGTGAAACCCTGCTCAATGTTTAAAACATCAAGCGCCCGCATCAAATGCGCTCGACCCACGGCAGTCGGATGAAGCGTGTCTATTTTTAAACAGTGTGAATAAACGTCGAAAAGTTTTTAATGCAAGGCAAGGTTCTACTTTCATCATTCACAAACTTTAATTGCCTCGCATCACAAACTGCAGCGTAATCATTATAACACAGAAATGATTTAAGTGCTGGGCCTTCTTATCACCAGCAGAACTTAAAACCAAACGGTCATAGTGACTAGCATCTGCTAATTTGTATAAGGATTTTAAGCGGATACTAATAGATAATAATAAATATAATAATATATAATAATGAATATATTTAATTTATATATTCCTATCTGATAAGAAAAATTACGATTGATTATTGTTGATATTTTTCAAATGGAAATACACCAATTATTATATATTATTATATAATGTATATATCAGCAACAAAGAATTTATTTATTTAAATATTTTATATATTGATTATTACAAATCCATGCATGTATATATGAACACTTATTCTTTTGTTAACTGAATCATATATATGTCGATTTTTACACTATGTTAGGTCTTTCTAGTTGATTGACTTTAGAAATTCAAGGTATATAAAGCTGATCTGAATTGTACATTATATATACAGATGTATATACATTTGTGTGACTTTCGCTTCACATTGGTTTTCTAATTTCCTTCCATATACGGCTGAGTACTTAAATACAAAGTAGAAATGTAAATTTTCGTTTGAACAGATTTTGCTTAACTTTTGCCCCATTTCCATTGATAATGAATAAAAATAACATTTGAAACTGCGCGCTGGCACGAAAAATAATATGCAATAAATATGAATACAAACATAAACGTTTCGAAAAAACGACAAACACAATATCTTCACAAGTTCAATGTAGCTGTGAGCATGAGTAGGTCATTCATTCATTCATAGATCGTAGGTCAAAGTACAGGGGCAAGTGGCTTCTCGTGTTTTACGGGTAACATTATCATATTCTCAAACGCAATAAGTGGAAACATATACATATGTACAGGCTAATAACACTGCTAAGACGAGTTATAAAACCCAAGTAATGATGATAAGACAACTTGTCCCCCTTCCCACAGCAACTACTCACACCAGGGGAAATCAAATTCCATCGCCCGCGCCCTCATTCCGACGTGTACAACAGGGGTGCTGTTGCTGTTTATTAATTGCTAGACTCTGCTTACCTCGTTCAGGAATGCTGTGACATCGTAAACAGTATTGTGAATTAGCAGCCATGTATCCTTGTTGGTATTGTGTTTGGCAACTTCTGCACGCGTATAAGTTTTTTCTCCTTCACCGGACATGTCGATGACTTGTTGAATTGCTTTTCTATTACTAATAGAGTATGGAATAAGTTCGATCGAACGACTCGCTGAAACTGAATGAGCGAACCACTCACTGATTGTCGCTCATCTAGCTCGTTAATGACTCTGTTATTAAAAGCAAAAACTTAACATTTGCCCAAACTGTTAATAACAGTAAGCAATTTATTTTCAGAATTTCAGTGAGCTATACATTTAAATGTATCTCAACAATCATTTAAATTATCTTTTAAGCATTTTTTCGAGTAGAAAATTATTATATCAATATAATTTTTAAGCATAAACAGTTTGTAAAGTAACTGAACTGTCTGCTAGCACTAATGCACGACATTTTAACATAGCCCTAACAGAACCATTATGAGTAGTTTATGTTCGATAAATCGATTTTTAATTTCAAATTTGAACTTTTTCGCTGCTGTTAATAACTATCAGGTTAGCGCGGGACTTTTGAGTTTAAAAAAGATATTTCATATTTATAAACATATTTAGTCCACTGATAATGTTATTATATAATTGTTGAATAAAAATAAATGAAGCTTAAACTTTTAGTTTTAACTGTATATTGATAATACATTGGAATACTTGGAATGTCGAGATTATCATTTAATGAGTCTCCAAAAATATTTGGAATTGACGGTGACTTTAAAAACCTCACGAATCCTAAAAGTTTGCAAAGCCAATAATCACTTCAAAATCACTTCATACTATAAACATGACTTATTCATCATCTATTTGGCTTAAATTTTGACCAGCAGTAAACAAATACTTGCATGTTAATAGACTCGCATGCGCCGATTACGCATATTAAATATTTGCCGTCAACTTCTTATCGCTACCAGACTTAACACTCTCTCACATTCAAAGTGCTGATATCATGAATACGCAGCGCTAATGCCATTTATCAGCACAAGAGAGTGATGTCCATGCATTTCCCATTGATATGCCTTCATTGTCTAAGAAAGTAAACGTGTTATGCTTCCCTTGACTGGTTGATTAAAAATAAATAATAAGCTCATGTAACTTTACTGATGATATTGTGCTGACAACGATGATTCGTTAATATATGCTTTTCTTTTCTCTCTTTTTTTTACTATTTGTCCTCATCTATTTAAATTGTATTTTAATTAAACTTTATTTATAAACAGTATTAATTTAATTTAATTATTTTTGTGAATTTTGTATATATTTTGTGAATTGTATTTTAATATAATTTTGTATATTTTCATTGAGAATAATTCTTTAAGAAGGAGACAACTGTATCTGTAAAAAAAATTGAAATTGAAAGAGACTAATTTTGTATACTAAAAAAAATATATATATAAAATAAATCCAAATAAAATATGACAAATATATATACTCTACTTATCAATTAGTCATATAGCACACAAGACTATATATATTTTCAATTTCAGTTCTCTTAACAAGAATGGAATACCTATGGAATTGAATATTATGGAATATGTATTAGTAAAAACTCGTGTACAGATCAGGATATATATATATACATATATGAACATATAGGAACATGTCTGATTAGAAACAGATGGTAAGTGCCTATGTACAATTACATAATAAGAACAATTGATAGTTTCACTTTGTTTATATTTTTTATGTATGTATTTTTTAAGTGCCTATTAACCGGCGCTATCTGCTAGAAAATACACCTTGCCTGCCTTGAGTAATTTGCAAATGATAAGGTAATTTAATATGTAATCGATTCTGTTAGCAATTAATACGGCAGACAGAGAGAAAGAGAGATAGAGATAGAGAAATCGCGCTCCCTATATTGTTAATTCAAAAACGAATGATGACATGGCTAATAATGATTAAATTGTGGGAGTCGTCATAAGCTCCATTTAATTTGAAAAACCATTTGAGTAATTCCAATTTTTATGAATTGGCTATAAAAATCGATTAATCAAAAATAATGGTTTGCAGCTGATTTTAAGCCATTGGCATTTAAAATCTACTCTTCATTTGATCTACTCATATTCATGGCATTACTCTTTCCTTTGCGTACTCTTACTTTATTCATAGCCCAATAAATTGATAAGCTTTATCAAAAATGAACCGATATCAACTAATGTTTTATTTCGCTGCTCTGGGCTTCAAATATAAGCCCATATGCTTTAACCAATTTCATTAGTCTCTTTCTAACAGTTGTCCTATTTAGTTCGTGATTTCGAGAATAACAGAAATTTAACCAATCTGAAAATCAAGTGTTCAATAGCCCATCAAAATGACCGAGTCTAACGGCAATGTCGTCAAGGACGACGATAGCAATCGATTGTCACGCTATGCAACGAATATTGTTTTGGCTGACTCCTTTGCTGAGAAAGACAAGGAACGCAAAAGCTTGTGAGTTGAATGAAATGTACCTTGAACTTCATATAAAAGGAACAAATAAGTTAAAGCTTTTAAGAGAAGAGCCCTGCTACAATTTTCTGCAAATTAGGATACAAAAATAAAAACAAAGGCAAAGTTCTTAGTTGATTGTAACTCTGTGATTCAAATAATATTTATTGTCTAAAATAGTTATGGGAAAATAATAAATTCCAATGAGACTATACCAAAGGGACATAATAATAAAAATTCAATTTATCAATTTGTGAATTTAAAAATATATTCATGTTTTTTTTTTTAAGAATAAAAAATAAAAATATATATGTATATTTATATAATAATTATTTATTGATTTATTTTTACTATATAAGCCTATATATCTATCTATATATTTAATTTTCATAGAAAATTTGTTTAAAGATTTCAATTTTCCTACGCTTTCTTTTAGTCAAAAATTGATAATTTGTGCTTTAAAAAGTATGTTTCTAGTTTTCTGTTCTCAGAAAAAATAAATCATTTATTTTAACTAATTGAGTGAATAGCATATTTATTTGATTATTTAAATATTATCTTTTCCTTTTTATTTTAATTTTATATTGATACTATAATGCAAACGAATATTAATTATATATTAATGCATATCATTATAAATCAATCTAGTATTTATAATCGCATATTCTATGTGTTAAGGCATTTGGATTGCCTTCTGAAATATTATTATATATTATTATAAGAAATTGAATTATTATGAATTATTAATTGAATTATTATCGAAATTGTATAGGTTAAGTACTTGAAGCTGAACCACTGTACAGAAAAGTTGTTATTGTACGCGCTAGCACGGGAGTGTCGCTCTCCAAAAGATCGCTCTCTCGCTGCTCGCTGTTAGATGCGCATAGGTGCGCTCTCTACTGTGCAAGCTGCGCTTGCGTTCATGTTAAATTTAATAAATTCAGTACAAAATTGAACACCGGTGCCAGCACTTCGTATATTTCAGAGAGACCGCAAGTTGCTGTCTACTTTTTTTTATAAATATTATACACTGGCCATCGAAGGACCAGACTCCTTTTGGAAGGACATTTTTGGCGCCCCCGGGTGGACACTCTCTGGAATTGAAGGAAGCTGGATTATGGATTTTGTGGATAATCAGGGAAGTACATAAATACATAGAGCACATAGATGACCAAGTAATGCAAGCCATAAATAAATAAATGCATTACTTGAGACATACAAAATATTAATGTATGTACAATCTACGCCTATGTACATTGTGTTGAGCTTATTTCAAATTGAAATTTAAAAAAAATAAATAAAAATAATAATAAGGTGCATATTGACCTTTGATCTGCAAATAATTCAATCTCTATTGCCTCGCATAATCCAAGTTTTCTTTGGCGCCGCTAGTGTGTTACAGTTTTTTTGCTCATTTTCGTCTCGCACTTTCGTTTTGCGCTTGCGCTCACAGCTCGCTCTCGCTCGCACATATTAGTGCGCGCTCACTTTGCGCTCAGTGCATACTCACTTGCTATATCGTTTGCACTCGCGCTTACACAGCAAATTTCGCTTTAATTTACGCTCATCATTTGCATGCGCGCTTGCAATATCGTTTGCACTCGCGCTTGCACTTATAGTTGCGCTCTCGTTTTACTGTCTCGCTTGCACATATTAGTGCGCTCTCGCTTTGCGCTCAAAACTTGCACTCTCGCTTTGCGCTCATTGTATGAGCTCGATCTGCACTTATATTTTGGCATTCATACCGGCGCGCTCTCGCTTATGAATGCATTGCACTCAGTCGCTCAACAGTCAAATATAACTCAATAGACCACTTGCCCAAATAGTCACTCAACATTTTGGTTGTTGTCTTCGCTATATCGTAACAGTCACTCAAGTATAGTTTAACACTGCCAGCGTAATATATTGAGATTTATTACGATCGCGCGCATTTGTTAACATTCTTGAATTGCTCTTCGCTTGTTGTCATACATTAAGTGAACTTTTATTTGTTTCGATTGAAATTGGTTTCAACTGAGCATCACTTATAGCATCATGACTAACAAGCGAGGAAAGAATAGGTCTATGGACGAGTCATCATCAGAGCGTGTCGAAGCTCTGTTGGCCGTTTACAAAAATGTTACAAACGACATAACACGCATTAATAAATCATTAAAAGATTACACTAAACCAGTAGAGCCATTTGAAATTGAATGTCGACTTGAGATATTGAACCGCTACATAGAAAAGGCCTTTAAGACACAACAAGAGTTGGACGACATTAACGCAGATTTAGTGCCTCGGTCAACGTTAGAAGATTTGTGTGTATCGACAAAGGCACTTCTTATGAAGCGAGGTAGTGATAGCCAACCTAAAAGTGAGAGTCCCGCTAACTCTACAATGATTAGCTCAGTGTCACATTCTAGGAATCTACCGAATATAAAGCTGCCAAAGTTTAGCGGAGAATATTCGGAATATAAGAATTTCATTGGACTTTTTGAGAGTTTAGTCGACAACGAGCCAGGGTTATCAAATATAGAAAAGTTTAACCACTTGTTGTCATGCTTGGACAAAGAAGCATTAGGCACTGTCAAGGCATATCAGGTGACAGATGCAAATTATCCAAAAGCGTTAGCTGCTTTAAAAAATGTGTACGACAATCAGTGTCTCATATTTTTTAACAGCATTTCAAAACTATTTGATCTCCCACACATGTCCGAACCGTCAG